TTTCCCTCTGAGCACGGTTAACTGAGAGTATCTCAATAAAGGAGAGAGACGAGGTTTTCACCAGGGGTGTGCTGCAGGAGAGGGTTCTGGGATCCCATGACTCTGAACAAGCCCAGTGCCCTGCATCACCGTCCTCTGTCAATGAGCTTGCTCATGTCCATCTTGGTCCTTCATCACGACAGTAGAGGACAAAGACGTTTGCGACGTTTAGGGGACAGGGCCGAGCGTCTCCTCCCCAAGATTTCCGCACGATGCGTCAGAGGGAAGAGTTTTAACAGCCAAGAGAAAAATGGCATTTCTTGGCACCAAGTCAAAAGCAAGCTAATTAGTTGCCAAGGAGTTGGGCCAGGCAACTTATTTCGAGCTTATCCGTGAGTATCATTTTCCATGAGGAGTCAAAAGACTATTAATTCGGCGAATCAGACATAAACAGTGAATTACTCCTACAGGGCCGTAGTGACCTGGGCTGGGTCTCATGAGCCGACTTTCTGGGTGGGCAGGCAGCAGCTTGCATGGAAGTCAGGTTGTGGGGGGGCGGTTAGGGCAGCCAGAGGAGAAAAGAAATGGAAGAAAGTAGGGTCTTGGCAGCGGCTACCTGGGCTGTCACTGTTTTCAATGGAGTCTGACATTTGAAGCCTGAGAGGAGCCGTCAGCTACTTCAAAGCTTTAGGGGCACGTTGACAAGTGGGCCCGCCTTGCAATCTCGCAGCCACGTCCTAATGAGCATCATTAAAACGGGGCTGGATCCCAGCCCTCAGCCCCGACAGCAGGTCAGCCTGTGGGTTTCAGACTTCCCTCTCTTCCTACCTTCCTCTCCAGGAGTGGGAGCTGGTGGTGTTGGGGAAGTTGAAGTGGAACCTGGCTGCTGTCACCCCTCACGACTTCATTGAACACATCCTTCGCAAGCTGCCGCCACAGAGGGAGAAGATGTCTTTGATCCGCAAGCACGCGCAGACCTTCATCGCTCTGTGTGCCACTGGTAAGGACAGCCTCGAGCAGCGGCAGGCTGGGAAGCCCTGGTGCGGGGGGGCTGCCGGGGTCAGGGTCAGAGGAGGTGGTTGGGGTGTGCAGGGAAGGGGTACTCCTGAGCAGTCTAGAGTCTGAGGTTTCATTCCCAAGTTGCTTTTTCTTTAACTTTATCTGACCTGCTATATTCTCTTTCTCTGCTAAACTCATAAATGGTTTATGGGGACAGGTGTGGTAAGGGAAAAAAAAATTAGTGCCTGTTAAAATACTCTTTATGATGTCTAAAGTGCTCTTTGAAGATTATATATACTGCTCACTGCTTGTGTTTAAATCTTTAATCTTTTGAGGAAAAGGATGGCTTGGAGATAAGCCCAAGAGGAAATTTGGAGGTGAGGGTGGGGGCAGATATAGGGTAAAGGAACAACGTCAGATAATGTGCCTGCCCTGATAAGACCTGAAGGAGAGCAGAGGAGTTCTCTTTCCTGTGGGCATTTATTGCCTGTTCCCACTGCCTGCTGGGGAGTGCCCCTCCTGGTTTTCAGCCAGGATTCCCCTTCTGGTGTTGCACTGGTTCCGATGCTGCACTGGCTAGCCACAGTTTTGCAGGCTTGAAGGTTGCAACTGGCTTTTGGGGTGTTAAAAGCTTTCTACCCTCCACCCACCGGGTTGAGCCCAGGATCGATACATACTTACTTACTGGCCCACTCTGTGCACTTTCCTTATAAGCTGAAGGCAGTGATGTGAGTGTCTAATTGAGCTGAACCTTGACTGGTTTCTGCTGTTTCGTCTTGGTGGTGGCCATGGCAGAGACCCTGGGACCTTAATCATTTAGGGCAGAGCTGTCAGGAGTTTCTGTTTTCCCAGCCAGAAGTGTTAGGTCCCATTGGCAGACTGTTAGGGGTGGTTCAGCTCAGACGTGCCACTAGAAATGATCAGTGTACACATGTTCAGTTTATAGGTAGGGCTGGAGGTCACTGTGTTCAGTACCTTGTTACACTTTATGCGGGGGTTTGTGCAGACAGTTATATAATATGCAATAGTGTATACTCTCTGTGTTCACAGTCAAAGGTCAAGCTTTGCTCCTTAATCAGTGGGTGACCTTGGACAGACTGTTTAACCTCTCAACCTCAGCACCTTCCTCTCCAAAGTGATACATCCAGGCAGACCTTTTCAGAGCGGTTAGGAACATGAAAATAAAGAAGAGACTGGAGGGAAAGTGCTCTGTAAACCGAGATGCCAGCGCAGGACGGCGGCATGCCGGTACTGAACCGCGCTTTCAGCCCGGCTGCCCGGGCCCAGGCGGCGTGTGCCGCAGCCTCTGGTGCCTGCTCTGTTCTGGCAGGTCCACGTGCTTTGCCGTCACCATCTCTAGTGACTGTCCCGAGCCCCACTTCCCCTTGTCCTGCCTTCCTGAGCCAGACTGGCCTCGGCTCGCACATGTGCTCTGCCGGCCTTTGGGGGAGGGTGGGCTGCCCTCCCTGCGGCCTGAGGGCGGCCTGCGAACGTCCATGGACCCTTGCTGTCTTTCCCTCCTTCCCTTCCGCTGTCTGGCCTGAGCCCTGAGGTCAGTCCCTCGCTGACCTGTCATTCTGACTTCCAGGCTCAGCTGTCCCTGCCCTCTCTAGTCTTGATTCATTGTGGGGGAGGGGCCGGCCAATCCTTTCTCTCTGGCCGAGGGACAGCTGACCCTTGACCCTCAACTCCCCCATTGCCCAGCTGTTGAAAGCCAGAGTTCTGCGCTGACCTTGTCTCTTGACTGGCAAATCTTTGGGGTCTGTTGGCTTCTCCCTCCTCTCTGGTCTCTGACTGGGGTAAGGGTGCTGGGTGGAATTACCCAGGCGTGGGCAGGTCCCCAGATCTGTATAGGCCCATTCTCTGAAGTCAGGGAGCCCATCCCCCACCCAGGGCCTTCTTGCCCAGATCCTCGGGGTAGCTGCCAACTTTGAGGCCAGTACAGGGAGCCTGGGCTTCAGGGCCAAGGTCCGCAGGGAGGCAGAGGCGGTCCTGAAGACCCCCTTTAGGGACCTGAGCTAGTGCAGTGAGGGTGGGGAAGATAGGAGAAAGAGCACCAGCAGCCAGATGGAAAGTACAGACATGCCCACTTCAGGCACTTACCAGTCAGTGCAGCGGGAGGTTTGCAGAAGTTCCCTGCATCTAGAAACCTTGCTGTCTCACAAGGCTCTTCTCTCCCTGGTCTGCACTTGGCACCTGAGTCACTTAGAACCCCTGCCATGTGGGGGTTCACAGCAGGCAGCCTTGCCCGAGAAACACTCCCGGGAGGTGAGAGCCCCGGCACCCAGCACTGTCTGGGAGTAGTAGGCACAGGTAGCTGAGGACCAAAGGCATGAAAACACCAGCTGCTCCGACCTGTGCTAGCGCTCCCTGCCTGCCCCTGCCCACCACCGTGGCCCTTCTCCCTGTCCCGGCCTTCAGCTGCCCGGAGCTGGCACAGTGCTGCAGCCAGGGTCCTGGAGGTTGCCTGGGAAGGGGGCTGGTGCACAGGAGCTGGGCGTAGCGCAGCCGTGTGGCTGGTTCATGGGAAAAGCAAGCCGGTTGTGAAAGAGCTGGCAGTCGGTCCGCAGCACGCGTGGAGAGCGTATGTATGTGAGAGGGGAGAGAGCAAGAGGGGCCACAGCAGGGCGGCCAGCTCGCTCTCCCTTACCCGGCTCCGCAGGAAGAGGGCGGCAGTGCAGAATGGTGCCTCCTGTCTGTCCTTAACCTGTGCAGGCAAGGGTTCGGGGTGGGGGGGAAGCTCCTCAACCACCTGGTACTCGGTGCTGCATCTGTGGGGAGCTGGAGATGGGGTCTTACAGGTGCTGACGTCCCCATGCAAGAGCTGTGGGTATGGGGGAGACAGAACTGAGTCTGGCTGCCCATCTGCTTGAAGCCTCAGGGCTCCACACCAGGAAAGAAAACCATGGGGAGTCCCAGATCGCACCCTGACGTTGGATTCTTGAGACATGATGTCACCCTCGGAGGATGACGCCAGCTAGCCTGGAAGACCCGATGGCACTGACCTCACCCTGGGCACAGGGCTGGGGAGGAGGGGCACCCCACACCCCCTCTTGTAGCGTTTGGTGACCACTCAGGGGTTGCACCCAGCTGTTTGTGCCCACGCACAGTAGCCTGAGGCTGACACTATGATGACAACTGTCCCTGCCTTGCACCCAGGCCATCCCTTAGTTTCTGTACTCAAGCTGCTGCAAGGCAGTATAGTTCAGGGGAATGAGACGGCGGGACTCTCCATCCAGGATGGAGTGTGGCCCAGGTAGTTGCAGGGAAAGACAGGTTGAAACCCACCTTTCCACCCGTGTGCCTCTGATCTGCTTCCACAGCAGAGCATCAAGGGGCCCAGGGGAAGTGGGTCTTGAGCCAGGAGTCTCAGTTCTTCTGTGAACGCCTGTCTCACTTCCCATGTGGCTGGAGGATGAATGAATAACAGGCCAGCCAGCCTCCCTCCTCGGCCTTGGACGTGCACGCATGGGCTTCCCGTGCCCCACAGGACATGGGGTACTGAGCCTGTCCTGGGGGTGGCAGGTGAGGTGTGCTGAATGAACACCCCTTTTCTGGTCCTGCGAACTTCCCCGGACTGCAGGTTGGAGGAAGGGAAAGGAAGGGGGAAACAGCCTGACCTGGGCTTCATGGCTCCCCTTGGCCTTAGAACAAGTGCCTCTCTCCCCCTAGTGGTGAACAAAAGCTAAAGCAGTCACTTTGGAACTTCAGAGCCAGGGCCACCTAGGCTAAAATCGCAGCGTTGGATGTACCAGGCAGGACTACGCTGTCCCTCCCGGCTAACTAGCTGTTTATTGATTGTACTTTTTACTAGAAGCCGTGTGTGCCCATCAGGTAGATGGAGAGAGAAAGAGTGAGAAAACACCTCAGCAGGGATAGTTACACCACAGTCCCCGAAGGGGTGCTCCTCTCAGGGCTTGGGGCACACACGCATTTGGCCTGGCGTGTTTTTCAAGCTGTGGTTGGGACCCAAACCACGCGGTCAGCCATGTGGTATCCCGCTGCCCGAACCACCATACCACCCGGTGGCCCCATGTGGTGTTACCAGATCCGTTTAGCTCAGAATACTTGCCTCATGAAACCCTCCGAATTTGTTGAATACAGAGCGAGTCTCTGCCCTTGCCCGGCCTTTGGGCTCCTCTGGCACCCTGAGAGGCTCGGCAGCTTACGTGAGGTCACGTGAGTTGGTAACCTGGCTGGGACCAGACCCGTCTCTTGACTCCGGAGCCAGTGTCCTCTCTGTGGTGCTTTCCTTCCACTTGTGCCCTGACTTCCCTGGTGGAGTGTGGGAGGTGGCGTGGCCGAGCTCTTCAATCCCTGGCAAGTCGTCAAGAGCCAGATCTGGAGGGCAGGCATCCCCGTCTGACCCCAGAGCCAGTGCTCATCGCCTGTGGTGACATCAGACAGACCCCCTAACCAGTCACAGTGTCACCGCCTCTCCTGGAAGAGCAGACGTTGGAAACGGCCGACCATCACCACCACTGGCACGAGCATCGTGCAAGACTCCACCAGAGCTGCCTCGGTGCCTGCCTGGGGGCCGGAGTTCCCCTAGGGCGTGTCACCACCGCCACAGGATGCAGGGAGCAAGGCGAGGTGCCCTCACTGTGGGCGCCGCATCTAAGTGTGGACGATGTGCTGGGAATCCCTATCTTTCATTCACTGTGTGCTCGGGCTCTTTCCTGTCTCTCGTGGGCCCTCAGGTTCTCCTTGTGACACAGCAGCAGGAGGTCCTGAGGACCCAGTGAGGTCATTTCTGAGACACATGCACAGGAGGATAGATTCTCCAGGAAGCACAGCGCCCTCGTCCTTCCTGGCCTGCCCAGGTTGGCCTGCAGTCCAGCGAGGCTGGGTGCCTTTCTCCTCGCCCCTCCCGAAGCTGAACAGCCACTGCGGCAGGCAGACCTGGCCGCTCCTTGCCCCACAGGGAGACCCGGCAGCAAGAGCAGTGGAGGGCACGGTGGTGGTGGTGGCGAACGAGTCACTGTGTGTGTGCAGGGGTGGTTTTAACCCTCACAGCCACACCGCAAGGTGGGTACACTTGCCCTCCTTACCACAGGCAGGAAAACAGCTAGAGGGTCAGGTAAAATGCTGGTGTTTACGGAGCTGACGGAGTAGGGCAGGCTCAGTCCCAGTGACTCCGGAGCTGCCCTCTGGGTTGCTGAGCCGCATCGCCCCTGAGATCTGTCTCTGTTGGAGGTGAGCGGAGCTCCCTGCTCTGGGACGGCCTCTCTCCCTCGTGGCATGGCGAATGGCTGCTCCTGCTTTGTTCCAGTCCACAGATGCAGCAGCCTGGACTGAGACCCTGCTGTGTCTGGTGGGACTCTGGAACAGGAGTGGAGGCCACCCACCCTGCTGGCACTGCCTCCCACCGCGTGGAGTTGTTGGGCTCTGCTGTCCAGGCCCTCCCCACCTCCATGGAGAGCACTTAGTGTCTCCATTGCTCCTCTCCACTCAAGCGCCCGTGTCGAGAAGCTTCTCTATAGAGAAGGACTGCGTGTAGTTTATGACACACCATGCTGTTTACTGTTACTGTCTGAGGAGTTGGTACTCCGGCCTCAAAAGAGTGTCTTCTTGGGGGAACCAGCAGTTAGCGTAATGGCTATGTCGCTGGACTCCCACGTAGTCGACCGCGGTTCGCGTCTTGGACCTGGTGGCTTAAATCTCACGCCGGGCGCGTGTGCGTGCGTGCCCAAGATCCCAAGAGGAGAATGGAGGAGAAGGGATTGCGGCGTGACCATCCCCCCTGGGGGGTGATTTCTCGCTTTCTGTCTCTATGTCTCTCTCTGTCTGTCTGGCGAGCGCACGCGCCCTATAGCGAAAACCTCTCAAAAAGAGTGTCTTCTTGGGAAGAGAGTTTTACATTTTGGGGAAGTCACCTTGAGGCGGGGAGAAACCCATTGTAATGATTTGATTGAAGTGACTCGCTGGTCTGGGCTGGTCGTTCATCGCTCTGCCCCCGGCTGTGGGAGAAGGGTGTCTCAGAAAGTCACCACGTCAGGTCTGATCACTTCGGGTGGGCAACCGCGGGGATGGGTCTCCCCCAGTGTGCCTTCTGCACCAAGGCATAGTTTATTGGCATTTTTGACCAAGAGATTAAGAGCTTTTTGGAGAGATTTTTACGTGACTTTTATTCGTTCAAATATTTTTTAAACGTTGAACAAACTTACCACGTTTCTTCCACCTAAGAGGACAGTGGTTTTCTGTGTCTAGCTCATCCGTACACATACATGTAGGTGTATGTATATTTACAGAGGAGTGTATCGTAATAGCACACACACATGCATTTGACTTCTCCCTTCTCCCAAGTGGATGCTGCACGTTTTACCATCCTGTTAACATGCAGCGGGGGGCCAGTGGGGGGCTTGCTGATATTTACTCTTCCTACTGCAGTGGTTCCTCATACTTTCTATGCTGTCTGCTCATTTAAACAACAACAAAAAGATGCTGGTCATGACCCATAAATTTCCTGACCCATTAATGAGTTGCCAAGGGGAGTTTGAAAAACACTGATCAACCAGACCCCCTTATTAGCCCATTGGGAACCTGGAGCCTGAGAAGGAGGAAGTGACTTAACCCAGGCCAGTCCGGCTCTAGCTGTAGAGCAGGTACCGTCTGAGCATCTGCCTGATCCAGGCAGAGCGGGGACATGCTTGGGGCGCTAGGGGACACCACCTGCTCCTGCTGTGGGCAGCAGGGAGAGGTGCTCAGCCTGGTCTGGTCTTGTACTGGGGCACTCTGTCCAGTCAGTCCCTGAGCTGCTGGTTCATGCACATGGTGCTCCCCAGTTCTGTGGGTTGAAGGTAGAGACCCCCAGACTATCCACATGGACCCCCTACATTCCAGAATTAACTCGTGTGCTGGAAGTCAGAGTTGGTTTGCATGCATTGAGACCACAGAGACAGGCGTGAGCAGGGTGTGTGTCCTGGTCAGAGGCCTGTGGTGGAGTTGGGGTGGAGGCCAGGGATACTTTCCCGGCAGATGCTCCCACCAGGGCCTTGGTGGGCCCAGGGCCAGGGGCTGGTTGCCTCCTTTGTGTTGTGAGTGTCACAGGGGGAGCTAACAAGGTTATTGGGCAGAGAGATGCTCTCCGGTGACCATGTGGGAGAGACCTACAGCAGAGCAGGAGGCAGGGAGGCTGGCTTAGCCACACCATCCATGGGAAGTGGGCAGGCGGAGGAGTTGGTGGGCAGCAGGCTGTGGGTGCAGCACAGATCCGTGCCCACGGCCTAACAGAGGTGGGTGTGGGGGACGGGCGGAGGGAGGAAAGCCAAGGAGCCCAGCAGATGGCCAGGCTGGCTCTGTGTTCGTGGGATCGTGCCGGGCTGGGAGGGGAGACCGTGTGTGGTGCAGCTCCATGGCGTCTGAGAATGCTGTGGATTTGGAGCTGGGCAGCAGCGCCATTAGGAGCGTTTCCATAGGGTGTGCTCCGTACTGACACATTGGATAGGAGGAAGGGGAAATACTTCCTGTAGGCTGAGCTGGCTTTGTGGTTTTACTTTGCTGTAATATGAAGTGTGATCCGTATTGCCCTCTAAACTTGGCTTCCTGTCCCAACTTGCAGGTCCCACGTCTACCCAGAGTAAATCTGCTGCAGTGGTACGGAAGCTAGAGCCCGTGTGCTAGGTGGGGTTCCTTCCACTCCAGGATGGTCCCTAGGACAAGTGGTGGAACTGTAACCTTGCTAACATTTCAGCACAGGCAGGGGTGAGCTTAAATTGCCAAGAGTCCCAAGTTTTGCCAGTGAGGTAGCATGGTAGTTAAGACAGCTGGATCCCACATGGCTGACAGTGTGACTGGAGTCCTGGACCCAGTGGCTTGAAAAACACACCAGGTGTATTGTGTGTGTGCCCCAAATCTCAAGAGAGTGGAGAAGAGGACCTGCAATATGGTCATCCCTCTTGAGGAGGTGCTTTCTCACTCGCTCTTCTCTGTCTGTCTTTGGCAAGTGCACGTGCCCTATTGCAAACAAACAACAGAAAGTCCCAGAGCTGGGACTAGCAGTTAGCGTGATGGCTATGTCGCTGGGCTCTCATGTAGTCAACCGCTGTTCGCGTCCTGGACTTGGTGGCTTAAAACTCACGCCGGGCGCATGTGTGTGCGTGCCCAAGATCCCAAGAGAATGGAGGAGAAGGGATTGCAGTGTGGCTATCCCCCCTGGGGGGTGATTTCTTGCTTTCTGTTTCTCTCTGTGTCTGGCGAGCTCACACGCCCTATAGCAACCTCTCAAAAAAAAAAAAAAAAAAACAATCCCAGGGCCTCTTCCACACCATTAGGGAGACACTTGTGTACACCTCATCTGGCTGATGTGCGCACTCAACGGGCCACAGTCTGCCGCAGCAAGAGGGAAAGCGTAGTGTGGCTACCTGCACTTTTCTGTGATGGACCGAGCAGTCGCTGGGCTGTGGTCACCAGTCCCTTTGGCGGGGGGGCTCAGAGGAAAAGGAGGGCCTGGTCTCCCAGGCAGAGCCCCCTTGTACATCGGCGCTTCCTCTGCTTTTTGCTGTCAGAGAGATGCAAGGGGAGACTGGGTTGAGCCCCCCCAGTTTTATACTCATTTTGCACTTCTCTGCAGCAAATCACTTTTTTTTTCCAAGTAAGAAAGTGGGGTCTCCAAACCTAAAAACCATAAAATCAACACCAAGCCAGTCATCCTTCTGACCAGGCTGCAGAGGTAGTCTTTGGTGCTGGACCAAAGACCTGGCCTCTGTCCTAGTGTCCTGAGGATCCTTGACATTGGGCTAAATTGTAGAACTTAAGCCCCCACTCAGCCCTTCTCTGGCATCGCTGTTTCTCTGACTCACTTCCTTTCTTTAATGAAATCTCACCGTCCCCCCCCCCCCCTTGATTGTTTGCTTGTTTGGGGCCCTATCTGTCCCTGATGCCTATCTGGCGAATACGGCAGGGTTACATCTGGATTGTCATTTTCGTCCGATCTTGCCTGATCCCCCAGTGGCTTGCACGTTTCCTCCTGTGACGCCGAGAAGCCTTGGTTTGTCCTGCTCGGGTAGTGCAGGGAGCACCTGCTCTGTGCTGGCTCTGGACCAGCCCGCTCTGTCCGCCATTCCCCCCAGTGCAGACCATGCCTCGCTCACCTGCTCACCTGCTGCCCCCAGGAGTGAACCTTGCACATGCAACCCCTCCCGTGACTATGGGGACTTGGGACCCTCTGTGAATTTGCTGTGTGCACTCAGATGAACTCTCTTACCCCCTGCCCCAGTCTCTCCTTTAAATCTGGAGCAGCCACAGTGAAGGCAAATAACTAAGTAAAGGGCTTCTTGTGAGGAGGCGTAGGGAGAAGGTGCCGAGAGGACCAGGGCCCTCATGTAGCCGGCCTGCCATCAGCGTATTTCTGACCATCTGCGTAACGAGGGAGCTCCTGGCCCCAAATCCCTCTGTGTCCTGACCTCCTGCCTCTTGTTCCTCACAGACTTCAAGTTTGCCATGTACCCGCCGTCCATGATTGCGACTGGGAGCGTGGGCGCGGCCATCTGCGGGCTGCAGCACGACGAGGAAGTGAGCTCACTCACGTGCGATGCCCTGACCGAGCTGCTGGCCAAGATCACCAACACGGACGTGGTAGGTCACAGCTGCGTCTGGCTAAGACCGCCTGTCTCTCCCCAGCTCAGAAAAGAGACAGTTGCTTTGACTTGAGTTGCTGTCAGAAGTATTTGGGGGAGGAAGGTGCTGCTTTTATAAAACAATACCTGAGGTAGTTCCAGATGTAGCAGGTGAGGCTGCCTTGTAAGGTGCTGAAAGCCTGCGTGCCAGAAAATACAATGAAGGACTCAGCACACAGGTAGGAGGTGCGGAACGGGACAGTTGACTAATGGCCCTGCATGGCGTGGGCTTGCTGGTGGGTCTGGGTGATGGCTTCGTTTCCATTTAAGTGCATGTGATCAGGTGGCCTTTGCCCTTGTGCAGTGCCTCCATGTCTGCTCACGCACTCCGAGGGGGAGAAGGACAGCCAGACGCAGGAATCCACTACAGTGGCAGGGACAGAGACGGGTGCAAGAGGTGCTCACGCCGGGGATGGCGGGCCTGCAGCCCCTCCCTGTGCATGCCCTCTTGCTCGCTGTAGCATTGGATTAAAAAGTACTTAAAAAACTAAAATGCCGCACGAATTCAGTAAACTATTATGCGCTATAGATGTTTGCTTTCCCCTTTTTGTGTGCCCTGTGAACAGTTCAGAGGATGCAGCTTCTGGGTGTCAGAACTTAAAGCAACTGAGAAGAATGGTTTTGAGACAGACCAGGGTCAAGTGAGGGTCAGACTCAGCTGGTAGGGAATTGCAGTGCAAACTGGCCCTGAGAGGTCACGGAGGCTGTTCCTATGTTTCCCATGGAAGGAACCAGTTGGCGTCAGGGGACATGATGACAGAGCAGGGACCCAGCCTGAAATCTGTCTAGTCACCCTTTCTCTAACTTCAGGGAGCTTTTTGTTCAAAACAGTCTTTTGGTTTAAAGACAGCTTGAGAGAGGGGTGGTGGCTCTGAGGCCAGCATGCATCACCATGGGGAAGCTCCAGAATGCAGCTTCATAGTGATGCCCTCCCGATGCCCCAGGGGGCTTAGAATGCTCTAAATGGTGTTAGGGTAAGGGATCGTATGATTTTCAGGCCCAAGCAGGAGGTTAAGCCTCACAGAACCAAGGCTGCAGCTTGCCAGCTTTCTCCCCAACACACCTTTCTGCATCTTGCTTGGCATTTTGTTACCAGCCCGAAGAAATGGCCCAGGGAGGTGTGGAAGGGCTGGATGGATCTCACTGGAAGTCCTCCTCCGAAACAGTTCTCAGATACGTTTTTAAAGCACTGGCTGTAGAACATAGTCCTTTTCAATACAAAAATACAGATTAAAGGAGATCCCTCTAGTCCTGCAGGCAGAATGCTTCTTGAATCCTCCAGGGAGACATCGTGGACAGAACTTTGCATTTACAGAAATGGTATTCTTCCTTCCGAATGTCTGTTAACAAGGCTGCCTTACAACAGGGCGGTCCCAACCGGTGTAAGGCAGGCCCTCCAAAGCTAGAAGAGAAAGGCGTTGGTGACAGAGGCTGACCTTCCCCACTGGACACTGCCACCTTGTTCAGATATTCGTAGGCTCCTTGACTGGCCGACTGCCCACCCCATCTCCTCCTCTCTTTCCCCCCTCGCCCTTACTGGTTTCAGGTGGACAGTCACTCCTGTAGGGTGCCACTGCAGCTCTTGGGGTGCCTTTCGCCAGACTGCAGACCTACATGAGTCTGTCACCTCGTCCTGGAGAACCACTCCCCCTTGTCGAGTGCTATAACCAGTTCATTCAGCCCAGGTGTCCGACTGGGTTCAGTGGCTGGGAAGCCAGCTTGGCAGTCTCCCCCATAAGTTCTAGCTGTTGAGTACGCCCCTTCTATCCATAGTGGGCCTGCGTGGTGTTTCTTTCTTGGGGGTGCGTGTACATCCCTCTTTTCACCAGTGGGCCCAGGGTTAACATTTTATCATGTTTTTCTCACTGGAGAGAGAGGCAGGAAGAGAGAAGCACCCTCCAATGGAGCATGGTCGTGCTGCAATCCTATTGCCTGTTTCTCCATCCATCGGGACTTCGGGTGTGCATGCACACACACTGTGTTTTTCAAGCTCCTGGAGCTGAAATTTGAATGGCAGTCAGCCATGTGGGATCTGACTTCTTACACACTGTGCTACAGGGCCAGCCCTAAACATTTGAGCATTAAAAGTGAACCACGTGGGACCAGGTGGTGTAACAGTTAAGGCGCTAGACTCCCACATGGCTGATTGGAACTCAGGCTGGGCATGTGTGCATGCGTGCCTAAAATCCCAAGAGGAGAACGGAAGAGAAGGGATGCAGCATGGCCATGCCTCCTGACGGGTGATTTTTCACTTTCTCTCTGTCTCTGTGGCGAGAGCACACGCCCTATAGCAAAAAGCACTAAAAATAATAATAATAATAATGAAATAGGCACCATGTACATAGTAGAACATAAAATTCATACTACTTTTTCAAAAACTAATTTGAGACTTTCCCCCACTTAACCTCTGGTACCCCAGAGTTTTAATCACTTTCTTCCTAGGAATGTTTTCAGCAGCTCAGGCCTAGGCTGTGTGTACGCACACAGCTTTCCAAGAGCTAAATCTCTCGTTCGTGAGCTTCTGTCCTCTGCAGAGGTGACGTGCAGAGTGAAGGGTAGTAGAAGGACTAGACCTGGGAGTGGGTTAGCATTTGGAGGGGAGCAACCTTTGCTCTTCTGAGCCCTGTTTACTGTTTCATGAGTTAAGCGGCATATTTCCGGCTCTTATTCTCTGTTTCTGGAAGAACTTGCTGAAGGCCCAGTTGTGACAGTCTGCTGCATTACAAGACTTAGAGATGAGAAAGGAGTGGCCCCCAGGCACCTCTGCAGTTGGGGTGGGTGGGCGGTACCTGGAAAATAAAAGATAATATTCGTACTTTCGAGGAACTTACTGGTGTTCAAGAGAAAGGTATGCAAAATCCTAGCTGAGTCGCATCATGAGGCATGTGAAGTGGCGTGTTACGAACTGTGCAGAAAGAAATCAATTCAAAGGAAGGAGCTTATGATACAAAAGGCAGGCCTCCCAGGGGACTAAACTTGTTCATAGAAAATGTCCTTGGGGGACAGCAGATGGCATCCTGTCACTGGACTCCCACGTAGTCAACCATGGTTTAAGCCACCAGACTTGGTGGCTTAAAACCTAAGCCGGGAACGTGTACTTGTGTGCCCCAAATCCCGAGAAAATGGAGAAGGGATTGCAGCATGGCCATCCTGCCGGAGGGTGATTTCTGGCTCGCTTTCTCTCTCTCTCCGGCAAGCGCACGTGCCCTATAGCAAAAATCTCTCAAAAAAAGAAAATGTCCTTGGAATGAAAACAGAATGTGATGTGGATATGAAATGGATACATGCTACAGCATACATGAGCCTTGAAAATAAAGGGCCAGCAGGTGGCGGGAGGGTTAAGACAGTGAGTCCCACGTGGCTGACTTCATGGTTTGAGTCCTGGACTGGCAGCTTAAAAATCACACCAGGCGTTGGGACCAGCAGTTAGCGTAATGGCTATGTCGCTGGACTCCCATGTAGTCAACCTTGGTTCGAGTCCTGGACCCAGTGGCTTAAACTCACCCCGGGCCCATGTGTGTGCGTTCCCAAGATCCCAAGAGGAGAATAGAGGAGAAGGGATTGTGGCATGGCCATCTTCCCTGGGAGGTGATTTCTTGCTTTCTATCTGTCTCTCTCTGTCTTTCTGGTGAGCACACGTGCCCTATAGCAAAAACCTCTCTGAAAAGAAAAAAAAAAGAAAAGAAAAGAAAATCACACCAGGCATGTGTGCATATGTACCCAAAACCCCAAGAGGAGAATGAAGAAGTGATTGCGGTGTGGCCATGCCTGAGTGGGGGGGGTTATTTATCACTTTCCCTCTCTCTTGTTTCTCTCCAGCAAGGACACACACCATATAACAAACTAAAATAAAAAAGGGAATATTACGCTAGGTGACATGAGCCAGACACAGAAAGGCACTGTATGATTTCACTCACAGGAGGCACTTAACGTGGCCAAATTCACAGAGGCAGAAAGTGGGATAGATGTTGCCAGTGCCTGGGGATTGGGGAGACAGCGCATTCTTATTTAATGGGTATGGAGCTGCAGTTTGGAGGATGAGAAAGTTCTGGGCATGGAGACTTCTGGTGGTTACATGGCAAGGTGAATGTGCTTAATGCCACTGTACATTTAAAAATAATTAAAATGGCAAATTTCATGTTATGGACATTTCACCACAATAAAAAGCATATAGGAGCTGGCAGGTGGCATGGTGGTTAAGGGTGCTGGACTCCTACGTGGTTGACCATGGTTTGAGTTCCAGACCTGGAGGCTTACTTTCTCACTTTCTCTATCACTCTCTCTCTGGAAATATTAAAATAAGGATAAGAAAGTTAAATCACTCTCTCTCTGGAAATATTAAAATAAGGATAAGAAAGTTAAATAAGATAATTATTTTTTTTAAAAGAAGCATACACACATGTACATACATGGAGATAGACACACACGCATGTGCACGCACACATATAGTACCTTGGGCGACACTGAAATGCCCCTAAGTTTATCTTGGGCTCTCCCTTGAAGAAATCAAATACAGCTTGAGGTGGAGGTATTGAGGTGTTGCTCCCCCCCCATGCAGCTGTAAATGTGCATATAATTTTTTAGAGAATTTTTTGCTACAGGGTGCATGCACTTGGCAAAGAGAGGGATGAAAGCGAGAAATCACTCCCAGGGGGATGGCCATGCCGCAGTCCCTTCAGCACCCATGCACGTGCACCTGAGGTGAATTTTAAGCTGTCGGGTCCAAGACTCAAACTGTGGTTGACTACATGGGAGCCCAGTGACGTAACCATTACCCTGTCTGGTGGTCCCACATGAGCATATAACTTTTAACTCTAGGCCATTGCTGAGCGGGCGGGCCGGCAGCTGCCACTACAGCCCTCAGTGTACAGTTCAGGGAGTAATTCCACCGTAAGGTCGTGTCTTTGTTGTGTTTCTTGGGATCCCTTCCTGCATCACTAGTGCACTTTGTAAGGGTCC